GGGGTGGGCAGGGTGTTGGTCTTAAACCAAATGTTTTGTTGGTACACCTATTCAAGTTCTAGCCTCTTTTGTTACCATTTATATCATGCGTCTCTTCAATTTGTCATCAGTTTTCCAACTGAGGCCACGTCCGGGGAGGTTGACTACAGCCCCTTGAGTGTTGCATTTCGGATTGATATGTGAAGCTGTAGTAACGGGAACATCAAGCTCTTTGGAGATGGTCCACTTGTATAGTCTTTACCTTCAACATGCTTGGAATTCTCTCTCATCATCAGACTCTGAGTGTTAGCATCCATCTTGCTTTGTTTTGACCATTTTTTGGTGTCACTTGGATACGGCAGCGTCGTTAACAACCTCTCATCCACTTCCACAGTCAACAATGCATGCTTCCTTCTTGAGCTGCTTTCGCGCCACGATCTCATAAAAGAGCTTTTCTTAGACCCGTGTGTGGGAGGACAGAAAGTCAAACAATAGTTTGAGAACGACTTTTACAGGAAGTGTCACCGTCCAAATTTACGTCTCCTCGGTGGGAAAAGCGTGCAATTCGACACGCACAACTGGTGAGGAAAACGAGCATCAGGAAGACAAACAATTGAGCAGACGTGCATGTCCAGAAAACTCATACGTGACGTCACTCTCCTGAGACTTCGGCTCAGTGAGCAGGGGTGGACAAGCATTTGTTTTCAAGGGGTCCACACTTGATCTTTAAAACTGGGCCATTGTGGTCATTGGAAGAGAGAAAGGTTCAACTGGGTATGTAATGTAAGACGTGTTGAAAAAAAGTTGAATTACTGTAGAGACTATTCACAGAACAATTCATTCCATTTTTGAAACTTTCTAATTAATCAAACTTAAGTATTCAATTATACAAAAAAACTAAAGAAAAAAAAACATCTTTGGAAAAAACGAGAAACCTTGAGAAGGGTCCGCAGATGGGGGAATCCCCCTTCCAGGATGACCAGGCTGCAATGGATACCGAGCGGGCAACATTTCACACACCATCTTAAGTGTTTTATTGACGGAGTGTCCGTTGTGTGACCATTAAATTGCCGCTGTTGGACCAAAACTGTTTAATTATTTTGATTTTTTTTTTTTTTTTTTTTAGCATTGATTCCGAATCTGACCTCGTTTTTTTTTCTCGAGACCAGCTTTTCTTAATCATCATTATCAGCATATAATAAAAACAATATAATGTAATCTAATAATATATGTTTAGGATTTAATAGTTAAATTCAGCAACAGGCGGATTTTTTTTTCTGAAACATCCATCCATCCATTTTCCGTTCCGCTTTATCCTCCTCGGGGGGTGCTGGAGCCTATCCCGGCTGTCTTCAGGCAGTAGGCGGGGGACACCCTGAACCGATTGCCAGCCAATCGCAGGCCATAAACAATAACGCTTGGTAAAATGCATACTGTGCTAGCTTTTATACATCAAACTTAAAAGCAATGTAAATATTTGTTTGAATGGTGTGCTAAAAAAATGTAAAGACATTTTTCAAATCAGCGTCGAAAATTAATTCGGGGAACATGAAACCCTCTCTGGTTAAAATGTGTGAACCCCCCCGCAGCCATCCGTGATCCCAGACAGGAACATGGAAAACGACATCTCAGCTCTTCTCACTTGGCTGTTTTTGTTATGTTTGCCACCATCAACTTGAGCTGCTAATTTGCCAGCTATAGTGAACGACTTTCAAAATCACGTGTCCGCTTCAGGTCAGGCGAGCTCGTGCGGTATGAGAGGACGCGGAGTACCCATGTGAACTCCCCCCCCCCCCCCCCGCAGCCATCCGTGATCCCAGACAGGAACATGGAAAACGACATCTCAGCTCTTCTCACTTGGCTGTTTTTGTTATGTTTGCCACCATCAACTTGAGCTGCTAATTTGCCAGCTATAGTGAACGACTTTCAAAATCACGTGTCCGCTTCAGGTCAGGCGAGCTCGTGCGGTATGAGAGGACGCGGAGTACCCATGTGAACTTGCTTCCGCGGGCCTCAGATTAGTCTCATTATAGCTGCGGAACTATCGACGTGTTTTTGTGGCTCGCACGCAAACAAATGACTCATGGGCACACACCAGCCCGATGCGAGCACCTTTGTTTTTGGTTCAAAGGGGATGGGGGTGGGCAGGGTGTTGGTCTTAAACCAAATGTTTTGTTGGTACACCTATTCAAGTTCTAGCCTCTTTTGTTACCATTTATATCATGCGTCTCTTCAATTTGTCATCAGTTTTCCAACTGAGGCCACGTCCGGGGAGGTTGACTACAGCCCCTTGAGTGTTGCATTTCGGATTGATATGTGAAGCTGTAGTAACGGGAACATCAAGCTCTTTGGAGATGGTCCACTTGTATAGTCTTTACCTTCAACATGCTTGGAATTCTCTCTCATCATCAGACTCTGAGTGTTAGCATCCATCTTGCTTTGTTTTGACCATTTTTTGGTGTCACTTGGATACGGCAGCGTCGTTAACAACCTCTCATCCACTTCCACAGTCAACAATGCATGCTTCCTTCTTGAGCTGCTTTCGCGCCACGATCTCATAAAAGAGCTTTTCTTAGACCCGTGTGTGGGAGGACAGAAAGTCAAACAATAGTTTGAGAACGACTTTTACAGGAAGTGTCACCGTCCAAATTTACGTCTCCTCGGTGGGAAAAGCGTGCAATTCGACACGCACAACTGGTGAGGAAAACGAGCATCAGGAAGACAAACAATTGAGCAGACGTGCATGTCCAGAAAACTCATACGTGACGTCACTCTCCTGAGACTTCGGCTCAGTGAGCAGGGGTGGACAAGCATTTGTTTTCAAGGGGTCCACACTTGATCTTTAAAACTGGGCCATTGTGGTCATTGGAAGAGAGAAAGGTTCAACTGGGTATGTAATGTAAGACGTGTTGAAAAAAAGTTGAATTACTGTAGAGACTATTCACAGAACAATTCATTCCATTTTTGAAACTTTCTAATTAATCAAACTTAAGTATTCAATTATACAAAAAAACTAAAGAAAAAAAAACATCTTTGGAAAAAACGAGAAACCTTGAGAAGGGTCCGCAGATGGGGGAATCCCCCTTCCACGATGACCAGGCTGCACTGGATACCGAGCGGGCAACATTTCACACACCATCTTAAGTGTTTTATTGACGGAGTGTCCGTTGTGATCCAACAAACTCCAGTCCGTGTTTCCCCGGGAGCCCATCTGCCTCTCCTGGCAGCGTTTGTTTACTGCCTGGGAGAAGAAGAAAAAAACACGCACACACGCACACACCCTGGGAGACAGACCATCTACCTCTCTCCACCCGTGCAATTAGAACGAAGGGGCTTTGAAAAGCTCCACAACAGAAAGGAACAAGTGCGACTTTACTCCAGTTGCTGCGTTGTCTGCCATTTTACAAGAGCAGTCGAGTCGCGACTGGGTGGTGCGACGTTCACGTGAAAAGCAAACAAACGTGGAGTTGCCCTTGCTGCCGCGTGGAGCTGCAGGAAATCTCGGAAATCTCAGCGCTGGAGCACGCCTCGGAGTTAGGAGTAGAAACGACGTACAACGAGGACAACCCTTTTGCCATGCTTTGGCCAACATTTGACGCGCATTCGGGGGACGATTTGATTTTTTCCCAAATTCACGCGAACGTAACGCCACGCGTGGCACCAGCGATCTGGACTCACAGCGGCTAAACGGCACGGAATGACACAAAATGCTTTTTTCCCCCCGGTGTAAATACTTCACATTTATGTGGACGTAACATCCCATTTTTTGTAGGCAAAGTGTGGCGTTGAGTGTCCGCGGCGCAAACTTTGACGTGTGTGGCCTGGTTGGCTGGCTGGGATTGGCTACTTTTGACAGGTAGCTTGTTAGCTCCAGGTGGCTCGCGTTAGCTGCCAGGTAAATCCGCTTTTGCGCTCTCTCGGTCGCTTGGGTCGAAGCCACAAACCCGCGGAGAAGCCACACGTAGCTGGTTGGCTTAGCCTTAGCTTTAGCCGCAGTAGCTCGAGTGAACACGTTGGACTCGTTCCTCCGCCCATCTTCCGGGATGCCGTTGATTTATATTTGTTTACTTGCTGGCTCACGCCGCAAAAGCAAAACAATTTCCTGAAGAAGAATTACACCCCCTAACAACACCCCCTCACGCCCTCCCTTTTTGTGCCCCCTCCCTCGTCACAAGAAGGATTACTCGGGGAGTTTTTCTGACGGCTCGCAGCAAATTGGCGGATGGTGCTCGAGCCCGAGTCAGTTATGTGGCTCCGGACTTTGGCTCTTGTTTTGGCCGCAGCCTGCTTCGTGACCACCACCGCGGAGAGTAAGTAACCATTCAATTTCAATGATGTTTTTCCCTCCGCTATGTAATTCGCATGGAAGTAAACATTAGGTACCTGTGGTGGGAAAAGTGTGGCCCGAGGGCTCACATTCCCTCACTTTTAATTCGGCCAACTGAGAAAAAAAAACAACAACTCTAAAACAGGTCTTAAATATCAAATACAATTGTATTGCATTAAAAAGTTAAATACAGCCGAATTGCATTGGCACTGAATATTTTGCATGCCACCCAGAGGGAGCCCGTTTTCCATTAAAAAAAACAAAAAACAAAAAAAAATCACTGAATTTATTGATTTACTGTAAAGCTGGTATTCCACCGAACAGTGAATGCTTGCAAACGTAGTGAATTTTGGGTTTTCGGCAGCGTTCGTAAAAGGTTGCAAAGATGTTCGCAGGCAGGTTTTAATTCTTGCAAATAGTTTTTCTGGTAACGCTGTCCGCAGACGGTCTGCTGAATTTCAATGGAAGCAACACAATGAAGAGACATGGCGGCTGTAAAATGCCCTCGTATCGGGAAGTAACCAAGTAAAGGAAAGCTGCTTAAATTAAGGAGAACAGCAACCCAATCATTGAAAAGCTTCAGATGAAAGAACATCAGAGATGATTTTAAAAAATTGACGACAATAAATTGCGGCATGGGTCTAATCACCATACTGTACTGGAGTAGCGAGTAAAAAACAAAAATTTCACAGCAGCTAAGGTCACGTTCTGCATAATTTGAGCATTGAATTCAGCCGTTCTTCGCATATCAATGGTGGTTCTCGCACCACCCTTTCGAAATCACTGAGTCAATTGATTTATTATCAATGAATAGTAAAGTACACATAATATTGCAAAAATAAGACATTGTGCGTATGTATGCCTTTTACAGTTCTGTATTTATTTTATGAATTCATCTCTTTATCGATTTATGAAACATGAGTAACACCAACAATTTGACACAGCTGTCCGTTCATTTATTATAATTGGTTAAATAATCCTGATCACTTATGAATAAAAATGTTTCAAAAAGTTGTTTTGTCTACCAATATATTGTTTTTCTTTTAGTTTTTGCAAAAATGATATAAAATTAAAAATGAATTGTTTATTCACACTAAACTATTCTACATGATTTACTTGTATTAAATGTAGTAGTTTTTCAAGTGTTTTTTTTTATCTTTTGAAATAATTGTTCAATTGCTTTGTTGAAAATAATACAAAAAAAATACACAATGTGATGTACACTTAACATTTCTTCATGTATTATATAAAGTACTTGGTCAATGAATTACAATTGAATTAATTTGAAGCAGTGACGGATAACTGAATGACTTTACTAAAATTCAACTTTATATCTGTTAATCTCATCAAACACAAAAGAAGTCTTTTCGAGAGGGGAAGTGAAAATAGACCACAAAGATAAAGTGCGCCGTCATAAAATTGCAGATGTGGTTGCGTCAAGAGTTAATCAGTCAATCATTTAAACTCGTGTCAAATGGGAGTTGGCACACGTCTTCCACCCTTAAAAGTGCCATTCATTAACCCCAAATAAAGTTCAGATGTTTTAGTAGGCGTTTCTCGGCATTTTTGTGGTTGCGTGTGACCACACGGGCCGCTTCCACGGCATCAGAAGGCGGGCCACATTTTTCAAAGGTGTCAATCAGGCGAAGGGTACCAAAGAATTTTCAAGGCATTAGATTAACGGTGGAACAGAGTAAAGACATGCATCACCAAGAGGAGGAAATATGGCACAATTTGTGACATTGCCAACTTGACGCCTCTCCAAAATTAACGAAAAGACGAAAAGAAAAGCGGTCAGGGGAGCAGTCAAGAGGCCGAACGACAGCGTTGAGGGAGCTGCCGGAATTTTAGTCCACGTGACAGCAACCTCTCGTCTTCTTCATGTGTCTGGGGCCGTGGGCTCGGGTGACAAGAGGGGAAGCCTTATCTCGCAAAGACAAAAACAAAAACGCTTGAAATCTGCCAGACGGATGCGGGAAAATGTGTTACGGTCTGATGAAACCATGGATGAACGTTTTGGCCATCGTTCCAAGCTTTACTGATGGCTCTTATCCAAAAACACCAACACCGCTACAACAAAGTAATCATTTGAGGTTCAGCATTTTATTTATTTATGTATTCTCCCCTTTAAAAAAAATTCCCTTTGCTTTTTAATGGAGATGTGCAGGTCGTAGGTCACATGAAAGGTGGAAACAATCAAAAAATGGTTCATCTTGGTCTCATTATCTTACGTCGCAAGCACCTGGGATCCGCGTGGGGAGACTTTTTTTTTTTTTTTTATGCAAAGTATTTCGACACGTCTGGATTGTCGTGATCCATAAGGAAATAAAAGAAGTCAAACTGACGGAAGTCAATTTCAGTCTTGCCAGTTGACATTTGACTATAAGCACTGTTGTTTTGGCCACGACGGCATATTGACGATGTTGTAACTCCCAGGCGCCTCGTGCACGTAAAAAGGCACAAAGGTCGGGCACTTATCATCTGTTTGTGTCCGTAAACAAATTGTTGTCGCCGTTGCCCCTCCTGGCTAAGAAGTCTGAGAATGCCGGTGGGGAGGGGGGAAGTGTGGGGGGGGGGGCGGATAATCTGCTCTCACTCTCTGGCCAATTTAAACATTTTTGTGTTGTGTTTCTCGCTCTCGTGGTCAAGGAATGCGACATCATAAACTCCTGATAGCATTATTTACTTATTTGTATTTATTTTTTTCATGAATGTATGAACCCATGTGCTTTTCTACTATGGATGTAATGTGTGTGGCCAAAGTATTCAACTTCACCTAAGTGGTCCCCCAATTATTATTGATTTCATTCAAATAATGTGTCTGTGCCAGCGACATATGGAGCCAATGAAAGTATCGAAATTTTCGATACTTTCATTGGCTCAGTGACCTCAAAATTTGAACTGTAGTGTCCGTATATCGCAAATGATTCTTGAATCTTTAGCTGGGCACTAACTGTAGCTCGCCATTAACGTCTTCCACCACTGCTATGTGCCATCCACACCTATTTCTGCATCATCTTGAGAGGTTTACCGCCCCGCTTTGTTTGACGACAACCCCACAAAGAGCTTTGCCTGCCCTGTCTGGCCTGTACTGAATTCCTCTCACGCTGCTCTTTGCCGTCAAATCGGACGGCGGCTGTCGGCCGGTTGGCCGACGCCAGCTTCTTCCTTCGCTATCACGGAGGAGAGCGTTTGAGCAGGATTTTAGGGCATTGCAAAAAGAGCCCAAAAATAGGATAGGATCAGCGCCAATAGTTAGGTCGGACAGAAAAATGTGCCTTTCTGCAAATGACTGACTGTGCACTTCTCCAGCCAGCGTATAATAATGTCGTAAATATCACACGGCACTCAAACAGATGCACAGTAAGTCTTTTTTTTTCTTTTTTTTTGAATCTGTGCAGATGATTCCGTTTCTCTTTGGGCGCTGTCTTTAGGATGACCCCGCCCGCGTACCTGGCATGACAACAAAGCTGCCCTTTTAATCCTCTCCATCAGTTTTCATCACGTCCTCACTTGGCCTTTGTAATTGTAAAGGAAAATAGGATGCAATGTCAAGCGTGTTTTCCATTAAGCCTGTGAGGGTTAAAAAAAAAAAAAGTCGAGTTTTTTTTTCTTTCTATTTGGAAACGGCTTTCTTTCTTATTATTTGGCCTTATGGGGGAGCTTTAAGGAAATATACACAAATATATTTAGCCCTGGGCGCAACCTGACTCCAGTGTATCATAACAGGATGCACAAAAATCGATCCTGAACTTATGGTGCAAACCACACTGGTAGTTGTTCAATATTAGCTTGAAACCGCCTTTTTTTTTCCAAGTTGTTTTTTTTTTTTTTTTTTTTTTTTTAACACATTTCCACGGACTGCACACCACCAGAAAAAAAATGCTTCACAAATATATGGAAGTTATGATGATCCCGTCTCCATTTGCTCCCAAATGAACTTCAGTTCAGTTTCAAATCTTGGCCCGTGTATTTGAAAACAGTTCTTATTGATTGTGTTGGTCACACTGGTTAACTGGACCTTCTGCCATCTCGGAGACGAGCATCCAATTGCCTGTCGGCATAAGTCGCCGACATCGATAAAAGAACAAAGATAAAGTCGATTACCAGCAGTACACCTGGCGAGACTGGTCAGACTGGTGATGCGAAATGATGAAAGTTGTGAAATGTTGTCACTTGGCTCTTTGGCGCAGCTTCAGAGCAAAGTTTGATGATTCACTACAAAATGCAAAACTTGGCTCCACTATCTCTTAATTGGCAGGCACGTTTTTTTTTTGTTTGTCTGAATGAAAAAAATAAAAAAGTCCCACGTAAATAGGGCTGTGAGTGAAATGCGGCCCGGCCTGTTGGGCACTACTGTAAATGCCAGCCGCAGTAACAAGCACGTTGTTGTAAAATTAACACCTTGTTGACAGAATCATCAAAAGCCAACATTATTCCCCTTGCGCAATTCTCAAAGCCAGCCGGTGTAACTTTTGCACTCATGCAATGTGACTTTACAGTCATTTGTTTGTTGCTAGCTGATAAAAAACACATTGAGTGATCAATGTATGAGCTTAGACTTAAAAGCAAGGGTTTGAAGGACTCAAGTTTTTTTGTTTTTTTTTTGTCGTCGACTATTTGGTGATGAAAAGCACAAAGATGTCGACCATATGTTTTCGGCACATAAAATTTATCGCCGGCTTTTTTTTTTTTGCACCGAGGACCGGTTTCACGTTAAGAAGAGAGACTGGCATAGAAACAAATAAAAACAAATGATTAAAAGGGTAACTCACCATTATGATGAATGTGTTTTTTGTAACTAATGCGACGCCTTTTGCCTCGCGACGTTAAAAAAATAAATAACACCGGTATATACCCGCTGCATTAGCTTTGTGCAAAGGGAAGAAATTTGGTGGCCAATCGAATGGTTTGAAATTGGCAGATTCATTTTTCACTCTCAGAGGCAGCACTTCATCACTAAGACGCAAAATTTATACTTGCCTACTGTTATTCCGATCCGTGTTTGTGGCACATGCAGTCGTAATAAGAGTGCCTGAGGCTAATGCAGTTAGCCACTGCTAATCTGCGCTTCCAACAAAACAACTCATGTGGTTTGTCGGTTGCTTGAAGTTGGCCTATCTTCACCCAGGCTCGTCTCCAAGCCGTGGGTGAAGAAACCCGATGTGGTGGTGACAATATATTAATGACCCTAATTTCGACATCACAAACCGGCAAAAATCTGAAGGGATTTTCAAGATTGACTTGGCTCATCATTTTCACACTCAGTGGGGGGGGCGCAGGCTGAAGAGAATGGCTGAATGTGCACCAAAATGGAACGACTTGTTGTTGAACAAATATCATCGCTATTCAAAAAGGGTTCTTTTGTCCATTGGCGAATGTGCAAATGTCGGCGTTCATTGATATGTCGATGAGTGGACCAAGTGTCGTATTGGGGCCAGTCATGTATGTTGCGTAACAGCACCTCCCGTCCCTTGCCTGAAGTCTCAGGCGGCTTTACAAGGACCAATGGTTTCGTGACGTTTTGACCCCAGCTCAAAGCGAGCAATGACATCAAAGCGACTCGAGCGGGAATTTCTGCAACGTAAATCAAAAGGGAGTTGCGCAATTCCGCCGCACTCCGTCAGTGGAGGGCCTGAGGACGAAACCCTCTTCATAAGCCCGTCCGACCAGTGGCTGAGTGTCCTCTCAGGTGCTTGTTGAGAGAGGAAGCTTTTAGTCATCAGCGCTGCCAATTGAATGCATTCCAAAATTGCCTCCTCCTGAGCATTCCACTATCCGCGACTTTCAGTGATGTTTTGTGACACCTTAAAGCTTAAATTCCCCAAAATAACATGCAAGTGGCAGCAGGCGCCTAGCGCAGGAAGCTAGCATAGCGGTCGATATTGTAAATCCATTTACAATTCTTTTAAAAAGAATTCATTCTCAAGTGCCTCACAGCGGACACACGAGATCCGCATTAAAGTCCTCAAGCCAAGAACACCGGGAACAAAAACAGGAAGTAGAAACCTTCCAGAATAAAACCAGCAGCAGCACTCACGGATAAACTCAATACAATACGTCTTTATTTGTATCGCGCTTCCTCAACAGGCGCAGCTTGTTGATGAGAAAAATCGAAGTAGGAAAGTAATTTGGCCGAACATTGCCGAAGACATGCTGCATATTTCATGTCTTTTAATCACATGTTTTAAGACCAACAAAATCATATGGTGGGAATGTTTGCGCTTCCAAGTCCGAAATATTTTTTGCAGGGGTCGCCTCGCCGGATCTGTTCAAGTCGACATGAAAAAGGAGAAACGGAAAGCTGTTTAGCGGTTTAGCATCATATGTAGACAGATGATAATAGTCGGAGGCATAATTTGCTTTATTTTCGTGACGGGCGGCCGATATTACTGCGGCTTACTGAGAAACTGAGACGGTCTCCAGGATGGCCATATGTCAGTCGTATACTGTACTTCCTCCAGATGACCAAGGCGCAACAGACCAGAAGTGGCAGCAAATGTCCATTAAATTGAAGCCAAAAAAAAAAGTGGCGAAAATTGTTCTCTTTTTTTCTAATCTATTTAATGATGACATTCCTCTGTCTTCAATATGAGAGTGAGCTGCTTTAAAAAAAATATATTAAAAATTGTTGTTATGATGAAAAATATATTTAAAAATATTCACATCAGCGAAACAACAAAAATAATGGCAATTTATATGCAATAAGAAAAGGGAGGAATACCAGTCGATTTTTGGGAAGAAGAAGAAAAAAAAAATCTATCCATTGTAATTGCCCACCCCTTATCAATATTTGTGGTTGGCAACCAGGAAGTAGAATGGCGCCCCAATAGTGAAGCAAAGCTTTGGCTGCACTTCTTTGCGAGCTCGGCGCGGATGATAACATCACATGTAAGAAAGAATCTCGCTGACTTGTATGGAAAGCAAAGAGAACAGTGAAACCTTGAAAAGGGAAGTGGCGCAATCTCCCCACTGCTTGTGTTCCCGCGTTTTCAGGGGCCCTCTGAGGGAGGACCCCCCCCCCCCCCCGCCACACACACACACACACACACACACATACTCAACACCAGCCTAACAACGTCTTACCCCGCCAGCCATCCACCTCCCTTGGTGGGATCAGACTAGACTGCTTGCAGCCATTTAAAAAAAAAACTGTCCGGTTGTGCGTGGACATGTGCGACAGCGACGTGCCCCTACTTGAGCACAATTCAATTTAGCTTGGTCTTGTGACCTGCTTTGTACCTTTGGCCTGTGCTCAAGTCCAGCCCTCCCTGCTCATGGCTCATTGATGATTCTTCGCAGCACCGTCAAGAGCTTTGGTTTTTTTCAGTCTGGCCTTGTTGTACGTAAATCTCGGCCCGTTGCCATAGCAACGTTTGGTGAGCGAGCCTCTGCCGTGCAAGGGAATGTCCTAAAAGTGGAAAAATGAGGACTCTCATTCACGCCTCGTTTTAAATCCATGATCCTATCGGCTACTCTGGTGTGTGCGCGTGCGCACGTTCCCATCGATCAAGCGTGTTCGTCTGCGACCAATGTCCATCGGGTAAAACATGGACAGCGGCCATACATTTTCCTTGAGTTTTTACCGCATTTTTTTTTTTTGGGGATGCCACCGCCAGTGACGAGGAAAACAAATGTGTGATGAAAATCATATTTCAGGCAATTGACTCAGGAAGCGTCTGTCCGCTTACATCGTCATGATGAATTCAGCCTTTTAAAAGTATACGACGCTATCGCATTGCATCATCGATCGACGGGTGACCGGTTTTCTACTTTTATTTGAGTTTTATTGTACAATGGTTCATCTTTCAGAGTTCCTCACTTGTATGACAGTTAAACTAGATTCGACTGTTTTTTTTTTTTTACTCATATAAAAGTTCTCTGTTTGTTTTGCTTCAAGGCGCGTCCCGTTGCCATAACCTGCGATGCAGCTATTTCGTGCCTTTGGCGCACGTCCTTTTAGATTTACGAGCCGTGGCAAAAGTTACGACTAAATGTTCGCACATGGACCAGCGAAGTCTTTCTCCAAAATTCCCCACTCGCACATTTGGGTCGTCGTGTTCCCGTTTCCAGTGAGCTTAGCTATCAATGGCTTGGATTGGCCGTTGCTAAAAATACTCTCCCAGCTGAAAGCGAACACTGATAGGAGCGACGTCGACGGCGGCTCGCTCGTCTTCTGAGCGGGGGTCACTCGGTGCATGTTTTACGAGCGGCGGCGGCGCCCCCTCCTATTGTACGCTTGTCCATTCACTCCTTTGGTGTGCACCAGAAAGCGCAGCTCTTTGTGGCTCTTCACTCTTGTTGCACTCGGTTTGCTGCTTGCGAAATGTTTTTTACACTTTTTCTTTTTCAAAAAATGTTTTTTTTTTAATTAATTTATTAAATCACAATTGTAATTTTATGTATATGTTATATATAAATGCTCTTGTTGTTTGCGTGCCGCCGAGTTGCAAGAGAAGGTGTCAAAGGAGTTTTCGGCCATAAAGAGGTGCACGCACGCCTTTCGCCACCTTCCATCTGACCGGTTGACCCCGCGCACACCCGGCTCACCGGTGGCTGCCTCGGTAAACAAATACACGGGCCGTATGCCTGCACACTCGTGAACTATAAGTTGGAATGTCCCAAGTTGCACCTGCGCAGCCAACAGCAGATGTGGAAGAAGTGGGATGGATCAGGCCTGATCCACTCTTAATAATAATAATAATAATAATAATACATTACATTTATAAGCGCCTTTCAAAACACTCAAGGACACTTTACAATCAAAACAAGAACAATAAAACCACAGATAAAATTATAAATAATAAAAGGAGAGATGAATTTAAACTGAATTTAGCGACTCTCTTGGGAGAAAAAAACAAAAAGAGTGCGTTGTCAAATTGACCAGGCATGCGTCGCGCGTTTACTCTCACCGAGCGATTGGCCCGTGCTCGTTTCTGAGCCTTACGTAAGCTAAGCTCTTTATGGGCCCGTTGGTGCTTTGGTCCGCAAGTCTGCCACCACAGGGCTCACGTCTTGTTTTCAGCAAGTGAGCCACCCGTGATTGTGTCGTTAGCGCTTCCAGTTGGACACCATAGAGAAAGGCAACCCGATGCAGCCAATCGGCAGGGCGCGTATTAATGTGCTGGTTAATACGTGGTCGATTATAGCGCCATCTGTCGATTAGCATGTGCTTGTGAACGCTCTTCTTTGGAAGTTATTTGTAGTTGTCTTATGGAAAGACCCTCGTGGCTCGCTAGCCACTCCTCAAACCTGAATTTCGAGCCGTTGGGTTCTTCAGCGTGTCTGCCCAGCACCCCCACCGTCATAAATATGCCACTCGCACAAACCGTGGCTTACAGGCTCCTTTTGAAATAAAAAAAAAAAAAAATGAGGTAACGCATGAGCTCAGGCGTCCTCACGCTCATCTCTGGCCAGACCGAGGACTCGGCTCACATGGCAGCGCTCCACGCTTGACAGTGACTTAGCACCAGAAATGCAATCGCTAAACAAAAAAAAAAAAAAAATGTCAACAAAGACGGTCTGCTCTTCATCACGGGCAGAAAAAAATAGCCGCAGAGTTTGCGGTGAAATATCCCCCCCCCTCGAATTAGCAAGAGATCTATTATTCTCCCTTATGTCTGACTCCTTCGACTCTTGCTTTTCCAGAGCAGACTTCTTGCCCAAGGCGTGAGTCACTTTTAGTAAGCCGCTGGTCAGCAATCATACGTGAATAACGCAATCCCCATTTCTTGGTCCCACGTCGATCGCGCGGGTGTCGGTGGGGGGCTCAAGACTCGTGTGTCTGTGTGCAGCGACTCCGTTCTTTTGTATTCTTAAACTTCTCGTTCTTTTTCTTTTCATCTTTCCAGTCTGTCCAAGCAAGGACATCCGCAACAGCGTGAGCAACCTCCAGTCGCTGGCCAACTGCACGGTGATCGAAGGCCACCTGAAGATCATTCTCATGTTCGGGACCAAGCCCGAGGACTTCCGGGGTCTGGCGTTCCCCAAGCTGACGGTGGTGACCGACTACCTGCTGCTGTTCCGCGTGTACGGCATGGAGAGCCTCAGCGACCTCTTCCCCAACCTGACGGTGATCCGCGGCAACAACCTGTTCTTCAACTACGCCCTGGTGGTCTTCGAGATGCTGCAGCTGCGCGAGCTGGGCCTGCACAGCCTGACCAACATCACGCGGGGAGCCGTCAGGATCGAGAAGAACCCGGACCTCTGCTACCTGTCCACGCTGGACTGGTCCAAGATCCTGGACTCGGTGGAAGACAACTACATCGTGGCCAACAAGAACGACAGGGAGTGCGGGGACGTGTGCCCCGGGGCGTCTGTGGGGAAGACCACCTGCCAGACCACCACCATCAACGGACACTTCAGCGAGCGCTGCTGGACGCAGAGGCACTGCCAGAGAAGTAAGTTCTTCATCGTCGTGCAACTCAAACCCTCCGAAATCAAACGCGATCCACCCCCTTTGAAGACGCTTGACGAACAAAGCCGTGAAGGGGTGTCTCTGTGCTCAGAGACTTGACGCTTCGGCTACATGCGACGATAGCATCCTTTTGGTCTAGTGCAGTAAAATATGGTCACAGTATTGCTGAAAAAAATACAGGAAAGAAAACATGACAAATTACAGCTGAACTTCGGTCAGGGAATAGAAAAAAACTCTTGGCAGGTGGAAATTTTGCAGTGCTGCTGCAATGTCAAATGCCAAACTGTGGGCATGCTTACACAAATCCAAAGCCTCAAATGTTAAATTGTGCTGATCTCACAACAACGTCCCTGTTCGATATTAACCTTATTTCAAATTTGCAACAGTAATTCATGTCATTTTTACGTCCATAAATCATATGACACTTAGAACAACCACGACAGCTTAGACTGAAGCACTACAAGAGCCATCAGAGATACGGCAACGCGCACACACACACACACGCGCGCGCAGGTGGAGAAACGAGCTGTTAAAGTGCAGGTGACCGTGTTGCGTAAGGGTGCAAGAAAAGGTATCGGGACAGCACCCTCGTGCAAGATTCTTCCGAGAACTTGAACTGCTTGGCACCACGAGGCAGCAGTCGACTTTTGGTCACAGGGCAAGCCAAACTTCTAGATATCGTCTGAGAGCATCTCCCCAAAAAAACAAGAGCGCGAGAACGTGCTGAGAGGAGCCATCGATGTGCTAAGTGGCCGGCCGCGGCGTCGCATTGAGATCCCGATTCGTACCGCGGAAAGCCGTGACCGAAATAGAAAGCACCCGAAGCAAACTCCGGCACATCACACGACGCTAGCATTCCAACACGGCTAACTTTAGCCAACGCTCTCGATTCAACGGTAGACGACGATGAATTATTTTGGTTTTGCGCAGCGATCGTCGCCGAGTCGTCGGCGACGATAGTATGCGGTCCGACCGTTGACAAAGCAACCTGATGCAGAACACGGGTTTTGTTTGAGCTGTACTTAACAAACCGCGACTCAATCAGAGTGTAAAAACAATTTGATCAAATGAAGACACTTTTGTTTGGAAAGACAATCTGGCAACGCAGGCGCATACCGTTAAGTTAATTGAGCACAACTATTGCCAACAGATCACTCACTGGTTCCCGCTCGTTGCCGTTGGCTCTTCAGCCTTTATTCTGCTCGCTCGGAATCTGAAGCCCTCCGCGGCCCCATGCGCCCCCCCACCCCACTTTCGCCCCCCCTGCTTCTCAATACAGCAATGACCCGTTAAATCGCAGTCTTTGCGATGACAAAATCGCATTTTGTGAAATCGCCATTGTCATGCAAATGCGATTCAACGTTCAGCCCGAGTATGTACGTATGAGTGGAACGGTTAGCTTGCACACACAGGCGCAAGCAAAGAAAGAAAGCTCTGTTGCCTCTTCATCAGCCTCTCCGGTGAGTACAGTAGGATTTATTTCACCTTTTTTATTTTTATACATAGACTCGAATTTGTGAAATGCCACATGTTTATAAATATCGGAATTATGGGAAATATATATGGGGGGGGGGGGGAATTGCAAATCAATCGCATTTTTTTTTCCCTTTTTTTAAATGGCAGGTAGATTATTTTCCATAATCGTTCAGCCTCGATCAAATTTCAAAATCATGCGGGATTTTCTTTGGCTCACTCAACCAAACCCTTGAGGAGATTTGCTGCCAAAAGGCATCGAGGGTTAATTCCATCAGCGATCGGTCCAGATGTTGACCCGCATGCGCCGATCGCCAGTCACCGTTGCGCCTCACCCACGCGGAAGCCTGACGAGATATGTGGAAGTAAGACGAGATCTCCGGAAGTCTTGTGAGATATGTCAAGCATTTGGAAGCTTGGTGAGATATGACGTGAGGGCGTAGCCAGATGTGCGGAACCCCAACTGGACATGTGGAAGTCGTGATGTCATCCTTCCACAAAGCGTCCACTTCTTCAGGCTCATTTCCAAATGGCACGACTCGGGAGTCAATACAAATTTGGATGTTACGCTTTATCTGGTGCCCGCTTGTTCTCAATGTAACGCTACTTTGCCGCTTCGTCGAAAATGAGGAGATGAGGCAGCTCTTGTAAGAGTCATTGGGTCACACTGGGAAAACAACAGAATTGGACTCCAGATCCCTGCGGCCCGACCTGGCTTAGCGCCCGTGTTTGGTCCCCTCTTTGCTTTTCCTCCCCACCGCTTCTTCTGCAGCTGGATCAGGACTCGGCCGCAGATCGCTCCGCTTCCCTCCCGCGGCCGAGTCGTGCTCATCCTTTGGGCAAAGTGGCGAACCGAGACGGCGGTGAGCCGCGCTGATCAGATTTGGCCCGAGTCGCCTGCGCAAACACGTGCCCCGTCAACAGCGGCGGATAGCGTCTTGTTGACTGTACTTGTGATCGCCGCTCGTCACGACTCTCATTGAGTTTTCTTCCATCCTACTTGCGCGGTCATGTTGAAAGCAGGCCGCTGTTTGCAAAATCAACCTCGGCCCCGATGTTCGTTCGGACAACGTGACCGTGGTCGATTAGTCAGCGTCTCAGTTTAAGCAGACCAATACATCTCCTGCTTCGTTCAACATATGAATCCACTTTCTGAGATGTGAAGCCCTGATGAACCTTTGGAGTGTTCTAATTCATTTTCAGCAATTTAATCCATTTTGTGGACTCATTTAATCAAAACAAAAGTGTCACGGTGGTAGCCGTTAGCATCCAAATCTGATGCCATCATAAAACGTTGAACTTCTAAACCTGCCACGATAACATCAAGCAAAATCAAGGATCTTGTGCACGCAGGAAAGCTAGAGCTGAGCTTTGGATCATGCGGCTCTGAATCGTGAGGCAGATGCGCGAACCATTTCAACTTTAGCCATTCCACCGCGGCGATAAACAGTGTGCCGCTCTCTAGTTTTCGGTCGAATCTCATTATTTGCCCCTCACTGTTTCCAGGGTGTGCTAGCGATGTATGCTATCCCTTTATTTGAACTGCTCGTTTTTACGATCTCGCGCTAGCGAGGAAAATGAAAAGAGTGCCTGAATGCCCGTTTTAATGACCCTCCTCAGCCTGGCGTCGATATACCGGAGGCGGCCGTTTGCCAGCGCGTGTTGCATCATGAATGATTTCCTGCTGATTGGGTAATACCTTGTGGACAGAAGAAGACGAGGTGAAAGGTTCATCCCGTGTGGACAAGATGGGAGTTTTCCGGGTTCAGAGTGCGTGCATAAGATGAGGCGTATAAATCACACATGGACGTCGCTTTTTGCGCGGGGTCGGGTATTGTTTGGCGTTTGCTGCTAGGAGACGGAGGAAGAGCAGCGGCGTGGCGCGCGCACGAAGCCATCCGTCACTCTCTTGAGGAAGGAATAGCAAGGCCAACGGTCACCGCGGCGGACGAAGTCACTTGACGTGGCCGCCGAACTCGGGGCCCCTCGCTCCCACGCGAAGCTCCTGCCGACGTCCTCGGTGGCGCCGGCGCGCTTTCCTCACTCCGGACGATGGTCGTCGTCGGGAGTGTTCATCTTGATTGTTTCCCATCTTTGTTGCACCTTTTCCGCTGTGGGATTCTGAATGGACGTGAGAGCCGGCCAGCGGAAGCAGATATTTTTGATGACGGGTCTAGATGAAAGGATAGAGGCTGCTCCGGGAGGATTTCAGGTTGACGACGACGCTTGATCCGTTTGGGATGGAAGGGATTTTGGCACCCGAAGAAATAAAGACAGTATTTGGGGAAAAAAATGGCTCTGCATTCGTGTGGAGCTTTTTTCCGCCGACGAGGCACTTAAAGCGCTTCACGCTGTCTCCTCGTGCACCCACTGATGACGAAGCATCAGCAGCAACTTGTGATTCAGTAACTTGCTCAACGACACTTTGACATGGTCATGAGAGGCGGGAATTGAACCCACAACTGCTGGGTTGGGAGACGACCAATCCACCAATGAGCCGTGCCGCCCCCATTTGTCTTGTTGACGCTGCCAGCCCAGATTCGATTTTCGTCATATTCGGTTTGAATGGACATTGTTGCCGATAAAGAGATGCAAAGTTTGGACATCTTGGATTGCATTACCCTTTGATGAACAAATTGCCAAAAACATTCTGATATGTGAAATATTCCCCCAGGAATTGTGAAATTTATCTTGTAGATGACGCACTTGGCGGCTCATTCGGAGTTCAGCGTTCCACTGTTTGAGGAAAATACGCCAAGGAATAAATCTTAAATGACGCGATTGATTGTTGTGCTGACGATTGGGCTGAAATCGAGCGCGAGTGTCAATGAGAGTGCTGAGTAAGGCGAAAACAAAAGCCACCCAACTGAATCGGTCGGTACATTTGAGTATTTTGAAGTGCTCGGTTTCACTCTCTTCAGTGTGCATCTGTGTTCTGTTCGCCTCGATTCCCCCCGTCTGCACGCACGTGAGCTCATAGCGTGAGTGTTTTCCTCTGAGCTGACTACACCGCTCTGGCACTCGCCAGGAGCTGCACCCTGCGAACTCTTTGCCGTACGGCTACTGAAGCCAACCCCGCGGAATCCCGGACATTTCAGGCATCCGGCGCGAGCCGGGGCGGAGAGGCGTTTTTTTTTTTTTTCGCCGCTTGCCGTGCGCCCGCCGCAGCCTTCCGATCCGTGCGCAAGGTTGACTGTCGGCTTTTCTTTGTTTGCCTTGTCATGAGCGTAAACTCAACGGCGCATTTGCAGTTCCAGCGTATGGAATTTTGCCCGACCATTATTTGAAATATTTGGCGTGTCGTCAGGACTCTCAAAGTCAACACTTAGTGTCCAAATTGCTTGTTCTTCCCACGTTGCGATTGACAGCGAGGCCCGGAAGCCAGTTAAGACGCAGGGGGCCATCTCGTGCGTCATTTGCCTGTCGAGCGGGGGGGCCCAAATGACCCATCACTGCGACACGTGTTTATCATTTCTATTCCAGTCACGGACAAATTGCATATCCTGCTTTCAGGTGGCGATGACAACAGCAGCGCGTTGAAAACAAAAAGTGGCGGTCCTCCTCCTCCTCCTCCTCCTCGTGTTGTTTTTCTGTTCTCGATCAGTGGAAAGCGGAGCCCGCTAATGAAATTGTTTACCTGTTGTCCCCCCGTGTCCTCGGCCAAAGCCCGCCGCCTCTGCTGCTGAATCAGAAGACATTATGAGCCAGGTGTACCAAGAATAACAAAACTAATAGACTCTTCTGATTAGAATTTGTCATGTTTTTTTTTTTGTTTTGGTTTGGTTTTTCCGAATGTGCTGAACTTAATCAGTCGAACACATTCTTGGCATGTTTGTTCAATGTTGTCGTGGATGATTTGAATTCTCACAAGTCAAGGTGTTGTTTATCCTTGAAAGGTGTCACAAGTGATTATTTCGACTGGCTTTCCAGAATCAGTTCAAATTCAAAATTGTCTTTATTTAAAAAAAAAGGGATAGGATGGAGACCCCCCAAAAAAATCAATACATAAGATATCTGCAAGTGTGACTGCAGCGTTTTATTTATCCATACTTGGATTTGTTTCCTCTGGACATTCAGAGAGAGAGAGAAAAAAAAAGAAGAAAGTAAAAAGTGTCCGTGTCATTGCAGTGGAATTTTAATGACCATCCAGCAGTCTGCCGCTCACACCGTTTTGCATTTTCTGCCCTTTTGATATAAATTTAACGCACAAGCCCTTGAATAAGTGGTTGCTTCATGGCAGATTGAAAAGCATACCATCGAATGATTTAAGATATGATGGTGTGGTGGCGCTTCTGGTTGGAAGAAAAGCTCTTCGGTCTGGAGGTAGTCTTTAAGTCAGACTCGGCCCATTTGTAATGCCAAAACCATTATACGATACTGTATCGGCTATTGAATAGACGGTCCTGAAAACCTGGACTACATCAGTGGTCCACCGGTCCATCTGGTACGGGGCCGCACAGATATATATATATATATTTTTTAAAAACGTAGCACAACATATGCGCCCCAAATGTACGTTATCATCTGGACCACCCGAGCTGAGGAAAGATGCTTCACGCAAAAGAATCGAGGTGATAATTCAGAGATGAGCATGTTTTGCAGAGGAATTGACAATGTCCTCGGACGGTTTGGCCCCTCGCGGGTTCGGCCCACGTTGTGCTTCGGCGTAGTTCGTCTCGTTCAGATGAGCCACCGGCGTCTATTTGACTTACTGGCGGTCCTTTTTTTTTTTTTTTTTCCCCCCCCCCTGTGTTTACTGTCATCCATTTGTAGTCTCCAACTTTCGAGCTCCACGACTACGCGTTTCAAACAAAAGGCCAGTAGACGGCTGCTGTTTATTTACTTTCATGTTCATTCAAACCCGCAGTTGACTGTTTTGTCAAACATTAACCCCGGTTATCGATCGTCTCTCTCCGATGTCAATTACGCTGGTCTCTGCCGTGTACTCTAACAATCGTTCGGTTCACCAATGACAACTAATTTGATGTTTTAAGGCTGCTTTTGACGCACAAATGTCACCTCCTTGTCCAGCTCGCCGATTTCACATCGCCCCGCCAAGCACCACCTCTTAAAGGCACTGAGTGATGACAGCCGGACCGATAATCCATAACTTGCAGTATTTTTATTTGAAAAAGAATTGTGTGGATGTGGAGTTGGTAAGATTTTTGTATGGTGTCTAGCTCGAGTTTTGAACTTTTGCAGTTGGATCTGGAATCTACCCCCTGTGATGAACTGGGATTCCGTTCACTTCGGGGAGCGCGCCGTATATCATTTTTAGGACACGCAGAGCCATTTTAATGACTTCCATATTTTAAATTCCAACAGCTCGTTCCCAAAAAGGATCAACGTTAGCAGCGACGGTCAAGCCGATGAACTAATTTGGGCTTACTTACAAATCGGAGTAAGGCGTCAGACACCTTAATTAAGTTTACAAATCGGCTAATGGGTTGCGGACGTGACGAACGCGACTCAACACCTGAGATGACTTCTTTCAATCCCCGATCCCGAAGAATTTCTCGAATGCGCTTCTGAACGACGGAGTCAAACGTTTGTGCCGCGGGGCTTTTTTGTATGAAGCCGGCGGTGGGGTGAGGGCTGTTTTGTTTGCTTTGTCTGAGACATTAAAATTCATGTGAAGCAGTCGGAGTATATTTCAGCCTGTATTGTCAAATGTTTCCAACCTTCCCTACTCTCGCTCTCATGCTGACCAGCTGCCATCTGAGCGTGCTTGAAAGGGTTAACACCGGGGGCCCGTCTTCCTCAAAGTATGGGGAGAGGCCGTTTGAATGGCTAGCCTCCGCAGCTAGCCAACGCATTGGCTAAGGCCGAGGGTGGATCTTTTGCAGCCGCGACGCTCCGGCATGGAGCTCTCCTGCGGGATCAGGAGTGAGCCGCGGCGTTTAACCGCGCGTGTGTTTGCGTCAAAAGCAAAGTTGAAGGACGGGTTTAGAAACCGACTTTGGGGCTTCGCAACAAAAGGCATGTTATGCTTGTGATTGCCAAGGCCCTCAGCCCTTGTGTTGTGAAGTCAATGAAGTTGGGCGAGCCACTTAGGTGAGAGGCGCTTATATCACAATGTTTTCCCCTCTCACATGGTGCCCCGCAACCCCTCCTTCACATTCCCCCTCTCCTTGCCATTCTCATGTTGCTGAAGCCCCCCCACATGCACGCACACATGCTTCTTTCAAAGGTGAAGAAAGGACGTAGGGAAGCGGCGGGGGGGGGGGGGTGTCAATGTTGAATAGGGCGTACAACCACAAACCACACACAAACATGAAAATCATTACACCCTCAAAATTCGGGAGTACCTGCAGAAAAGCAACTCCAAGGACAAGTAAGAACACACAAACTCCATCCAGGAAGGCTGCAGCCGAGATTGGAAACCCAAACCTCGGAACTGTGAGGACGTGCTCACCGCAAGGACCGCAGAGCTGACCTCTGCAAATTCAGACGCATTTAAAAGTGCTCGCTTTATGGGGCCTGGTGGTCGAGCCCCGCTACAAAGAGCGAGTGTGTGAGTAACTGACGCCCCCCAGATTTTTTTCATTACCCTTCCTAATACCGTACTCTTCTGCAACCCGGTGGTCCGGTACTCACGTGCTTAGAAGCTCGTCCGCATGACGCTCATGCGACCCGGAACATTTGGATCGCAGCTCTTGCTCGTCGACGCAGAAAAGTCATTTCAAACAACAACAACTGATGAGCGAATGTAATGAGCTCATTGCTACCCAGGAGTTGTCACATTTTGTACCGAGACGTGTGGA